TCGCTGGTTGAGTCGGGACTGATGGCACGCACCAGTATCGGTAGGGTATAGAGACTGGTAGAATATCACAGGGGGACGTACAATAGACCACTGGTCGCGGTGCATGGGGAAACCCACCCCCTCCAATAATAATAATAATAAATAGACTACCTTATTTTGTATTTTGTTTGTTAGATTTATGTTTCCTTTTACATACTCGTGCTAAATTTGTAATTGGCCTCTGAGCTGTTAAGTTTGCACGGAAATAAACAAGAACTGAATTCAACTAATGTGAACTGAATTATTATTATTCTTTCTAAATATTTATACTTTATATTACTCACTGATATGTTGGGTTTTTGGACTTTATCCATCGTCCTGGTTTTTAAGATAACAAATAAAAACACAACGTTTCGGAAACTGGATCTGTTTCCGTCCTCAGGTGAAGGAAAACACATCGGTTTGTCCGGTGATTGAGGCTAGCTCTTTCTAAGGGACCCAACTGAATAGGTGTTTTCCTTCACCTGAGGACGGAAACAGATCCAGTTTCCGAAACGTCGTGTTTTTATTTGTTATCTTAAAAACCAGGACGATGGATAAATTCCAAAAACCCAACATATCAGTGTGTTATACACCATCGTCAGAGTCCTATAGTAACTACATATTTATATTTCTCAATTCTCAATAATAACTTTGAATTGTGTTAATGAAATTATTATTATTATTATTATTATTATTATTATTATTACTTTGTTTGTTTGTGTTTGTTTACTTCTCTGCATGAATATGTTGTTTCCTTCAGTGCTTGCCTGTAATTGGCCTTGTGGCTGTTGACTCGGCACAGAAACAATAAAGAATTGAATTGGATTGTGGTAATGTATTTGTTCATTCGTGCTTTAAAACAGACAATGGATAAAGTCCAATGAAGTATAAAAAAAGTTAAACTATCCATGTAAAGGGAGGCACGCGGTAGCGTAGTTGTTTGAGGCAATATGCTACAAGCCGGAGGTCACGGGTTAGTATCTCGGCGAGGTCATTGTTTTTTTTTTCAATGGACCTAATCCTTCCAGCCGCACTATGGCCCTGGGGTCGACTCAGCCTCTAACAGGCAGGAGTACCAGGCCTTCACGGCCTGTTTTACCTATCCCTGTAACAGGCCGTGGAGGCCCATAGAGCTGTAAGAGGTCGAGGCTCCCACATTTTCTAGACAATCGCCTCACAGTTGGCGGTGAGGTTGTCAGCCTTACGCGCCGGCCGCCTTTACCCCTCAGGAAGATATTGGTACTCATTTCTGTTAGAGGCTGAGCCGACCCCAGGGCCATAGTGCGGCTGGAAGGATAAGCCAATTAAAAAATCCCATAACTTCACCGGGAATCATACCCACGATCTTCCGGCTTCTAACATAATGCCTCAGCCAATTACGCTATCGCGTGTCCCCTCCCCAAATGAAGTATTGTAACTCTAAAATCTGAAGTTGGTAATGATGAACTATGAACATTTAATTATAAACAAATAGGTTTACTTTTTATAAGCTTTCCATTTAAGTGTTTCCATAATACAGTTGCAGTTTCATCCAGTAGAACAACCCGTATACAAGTGAGATCGTGTGTTTATATTGTACGCAAGACAGACGCACATACCGGGCGCTATTCTGGCTGTAGTGCACGCAATATTAACTTGTGAAAACAACTTTTTCCATACAACCCAAAATATAGAAACATAAAATTATCAATATCGCCCCAAACGCATGCAGAAATATTGGAATATGTGGAATATTTAAATGAATTTGCCTTTCATTTTGAGACGTTGAATGAATTACTCGTAATGTTGTGCGTTATGTCTGTGTGTCATTTTTAAATTATATAAATTATACAGGGGGCACGCGGTAGCGTAGTTGGTTGAGGCACTATGCAACAAGACGGAAGGTCGCGGGTTCAAGTCCCGATGAGATCATTGTATTTTTTTCTATTGACCTAATCCTTCCAGCCGCACTATGGCCCTGGGGTCGACTCAGCCTCTAACAGAAATGAGTACCAGGAATATTCTTGGGGTTAAAGAGCGGCCGGCGCGTAGGGCTGACAACCTTACCGCCATCTATGAGCCAATTGTCTAGAAAATGTGGGAACCTCAACAGCTCACAACCCAATGGGCCTCCACGTCCTGTTACAGGGTTTTTTATTGATAGTGGGGTGGGACTAAGTCCCTTGTACTGCGGCCATTTCTGGCTTATTGTAGCAGCCCCAGATGATAGGTGAGGGTGATTGTGGAGCAATTGGTGGAATGAAGATTGACAGGGGAAACCGAAATACTGGGAGA